GATTTTCATCATATCAGTCAACTATTGGATTGGAATTCGCGATTGCTTTTTCTTTAGCACAACTGTACTCAAGTGAATGGAGAATATCTTTTTGAAGTAGACTAATTATCATTCTCTGTGTGTCTATTCAGTCATTTCTAATTGCCGATAAATACGATTTGGGTTGTGAAGATAACATACACTATTATGTTTCGTGCTACTTACGTCAACATAGGTAGTATATAACAAGTGAGGAGTAGAATGTCTGGGAGCAGAAGGTCGAGAAGATAATTGAGTTAAGAGCGGGAACAATGAAGTCTGAGACAGTTGGTTGACATTTTGCAAAAGAAGTGTTTACTGTATGGTTGTCAGATTTCACTAAGACGTTCGGTAATTGTGTATTCAAACACTTGTGTTCTCGTTCACTACATTATTTCTTGTGCAGTCTAGTGAATGTGTAGATGAATAGAATAACAGACATCTAAGTCTTATGAAATGGAACGAACACTTTTCGTATCTGGACACAAAACGATTCAAATAATAATTAACAAACAATGATGTTTGCGCTTTCTGTATCATTTTGATTATGTTTGTTATATTGAGTTTATAATTGATTGTTACCATATAAATGAACCTTGATCAGATATATGAGTATGAATTAATGTGAGCAATTCAAAGCTGATCAAACCTCAATAGATAATATGAATGAACAAAATATTCATTAGAAATCTATCCAATTATTGGTGGGTATTTTAGATCTTCCTTAGAAATTGAAATCAGTTCGTTCAACGTCGTCGTTACAGGTAAGCTACAGTCATCAGTGTCATTAATGTATGAATTTTTTGTCCTTAGTTTTTTTTATTCCACTAATTCCAATCCTATACATATTGAAATGTGAAATATGAAGTTTGTTTCCAAACAACATTGAGATTCAAGTAAACTTCATTTGAAGGAAATCTGTTTCTAAATGATATATATAAGCTTGAATAAATCTTGTGAAGAGTTGACTAGAGAAAACTAATCTGGTTTTCAACTTTGACATGGTTGTATAGACCAGATGTTCACACTACGTTAGGTCTCAGAACACAGACACACATTCAGACGACAAACAATGTTAGTGTCTCCTGACTTCAAGACGGCATTTGACACTTTTGATCGTGAGGTTCTTCTAGGTTTGAAGCGGTTACGATTCCACTTATTATGCAAACGGAACAAAGACTCGATGACCAAAAACAAATAGGCTAGCTGTTCAAAACGTCCAAGCTCCGCTAACTATAGGAAGAAGTTCAAGCTTGGAATGGGGTAGTATATACCACAAACAGCCAGAAACGGGTGATAATGACAAACACAAATCAAAACGAATATATATATCAGAAAACCGTCCTTGGTAAGTGTTACATAATAGTATGCTTAAAGACAACGCACCGATAGCATCTAACTTCCACCACATGTTTTATAGCAATGTTTGTTCTTGAAAGGAGTACTAATGAAGTAAATAAATCTTAAACACGATCTTCACTTGAACACAACTGGTCGAGTGAGAGCTTATGGCGAACTGTCATAAGAATTGATTCTCTGGAAAGGCGTTTATCAGGGATGTACACTATCTCCATTCTTGCCTAATTTTGTCGCTGACGTGCGATCCTCCTCCGCAGAATGTTGCTTCATTATTGGGTTGAAACGACATCTGAACTAATGATGGGGAGCGAAGTGGTTGAGAGTAACGACCGCTTCACCTATTTTAGGAGGTTTATAAGCGCTAGTGGTGTGGTGTGTGACGAAATCTCAACACGGATACAGGAGGCTCGACTAAATTTTGCCAATTTGTGTTATTTGTTGCGTAGGCGTGATATCCGTCTACCAGCCAAAGGACGCGTTTACTGTACAGCCGTTCGTTCCGTTCTACCTTATGGCTGCGAAACATGGCCGGTAAGAGAAGAGGATATTCATAAGTTACTAGTATTCCATCATATGTGTTTTCGAAACATTACTCGTATATTCTGGCACCACTTGATTATTAATACAGTTGTTAGGATACGGGTACTATATAAATATGGCACATCAATTGATGAAGTAGTGAAACTACATCAGTTAGGATGGCTTGGACACGTGTGATGTATGCCCAAACACTAACAGCCTCGATGTGCGATGTTTTATGGTGTAGGAGTAGAATAGAAGAAAGCTAAGAGCAGCAAGATCAAAACATGGGACAGATTCAAGAAATCATTGACTAGTGGACTGAGCCATGTTGGTAGGTGTGAACTACTTGGTTGAGATCCGCCAAACGATAGCAACCGATGGTTAGAAACCTTAAATGCCACGGTTTAAAATCATTTGCAATGGCGCAGATGCATCTACTCTTTGTGTTCGCTCAAATCCTATTCTTCTGAATACTTCATGTCCGTTTCTTTTTTCTCCTTCCAGATGTATTTCAGTGGATTATACTCATTGAATAACATCTTCAAACCCTAATGTTTCCGATTATTGTTTATGCACTTACAATTATTAGCACTATGGAATTTGAATCGACATCGTATATCTGTTCCAATGTGATATGACAACTTCAACTGATGTACATACGTACGAAGTTCTACGTTGTTGTTGACTGACCGTCGGACTGAAATGATATATTGATTGAAGTGTTGAATTATCATCAGTAGCGATTGGTTACCAACGCTTTTCTATCGACTTTCATCTTTACACGATTATTATTGGTAAAAATGTCTGTCTAACTGGACTATTGGACGAATAGTGTATCATATCAAGCTCAGTACTCAAATCATGATTAATGGTAGTCTATGGAAGGGTACAAGAAAAAAGATCACACGGACACAGTGAGAGAGAAAATAATAATCACTTCAAGTCAATGTGCTGCTCAACTTACAATTTCGGTAATACGATTAAATATTAGTAGATAAAATTTCGATTATTTCAAGTACAATGATTAACAAAACAATATTGGCAGTTGTCATTTGCATGAACGAGAGATAGTGAGAGAAAGTGGATTAGTTTAGTTTTCTTCTAATCACCTTATTACATGTTTCCAAATGTTCGAATAGTCAGTGATTGTTGACCAGAGACAATGACGCATGAACCAGTCTGAACAGTCCAGAATCAATCATCGAGATAGTAGCCTCTCACCTAATACAGACAGTTTAGTCTAGGACACCAATATAACCCTCCGCGATATGAATCATGTATTTGAGACATATGCAAACCTCATCATATCATAAAATAAAAGTTATTCAAAATCAAGACAAAAGCGGCTGTGAGTGTGAGAGAGTGCAACTAATAGAATGAGAATAACTCGGGCATAGTAAATTGTTTAATGATAGCCAATAAGTCAAATGGAAACTTTTAATGAAGGGAATATGAATATATATATGTATATAGTATAGTTAACTTATGTGTGGACATTCCACGGTTGAACTCGCGGAAGCCGTGAGAAGCTCAGAATGAGCCGAAGATATCCCACCTAATCCTTTTTAAAAAAAATATTCCTGATTCACTACGTGTAGCTTCCCTATTGGACAATGCTAATAACCTCCTGTTTGCAGATTGGAGGACTACAATGATGATTTGGTTTTTCCTGAAAACTATGAATACCTGACAATTGTGTACCATAATTGACACTATTTAGAATAACATTCCTTTCACTTGATTTCTGATCTAAATAATAGTTTACTTGGTGATTCCTTATCATGTATACTGACGATACTAATTCAGATAAGCGTGAGTAATTTGTTGATCATCTGATAGTTCAAATTTCTATTGAGTAATCATAATTCATTTGACTGAATTTCTGAATGTTGCTTCTATTCAATCAAACAGATATAATATCAGTATGGAATTGTAGAGATTAAGCATTCTCACGTGTGACCGAATATCCGAGGTTCGAATCTCACGAGCTGGATCATGGATGTGCACTACTGAAAAGTCACACAATAAGACGAAACGGCCATCCAGTACTTCCTGGTTTTCAATGTTGTCCTAACATCAATCGATTCATGATCATAATCAAAGACATATTATCAATGAATCAATTATTTATTCTGCTAATCACTTATATCATTACACTGGTTTATTGACGATGTTATTTGAATGTCACTATTTGCGTATATAAATGTGAGTGAATGTGATAGAATGAAACACTTAAATTTATTTGTGAACAAATATTCTAATTAGTTTTTAATGGGTTATTGAAACAAGTAAAAATTGTTAAGCATAAATATGAGTCATGTGATGTGTGCTACTGATGTCGAAAGGTATAAGTAGTATGCATGATCAGTCAAAAGTGAAGTACGAAGGTAATAGAACAAGAACACAGAATGAATGGTGTAGGAAGGAAAGAAAAATGAAGTCTGCGATGATTGATTGACACTTGCAGAAGGAACAGTCAGGGTGTAGTCATTCGATTATCATTTTGTAAATGAAGTATTCACTTTACTAACATGTTCTGCAATCTCATAATCAAATACATACGACTGTCTCAATGAGTAAGAAAATCATACTTTTGACGCTTCGTGACAATGTAAGCTACCTCTTCAGAGTAAACAAATAAACGAATTTACTTTGGAGTTTCATTCATGTAATTAACATTTTTGACATAAATTTCTTGAATATAATCCAACCACTAATATGACTGTAGATAGTATAGTGGTGAACGAGAATGCCATGGGTGACAATCAATAGTATTTGAATACTAAATTACAGAACAACTCAGTAAAATGTGAGAACCATACAGTAAATACCTAATATGCAAAATGTCAATCAACCATCACCGATTTGACTGTTCTTCCGTTTCCACACCAATCACTCCTCGTTCTCTTCTATTAAAACTTCTTAACCCTCTTTCTCTAGGCATATCAGTTTTGATTGGTGATACATACTATTTCTATCTGTCGACATCAGTAGCATAAACCACACTCACCTTCACTCGTTTTCTCTTTGAATATAGCATATTCAGTGTTAAATCACATTTATGCTGAAACTTTTATGTGGTAATTTATTGTTTATTCTAGGAAACCACATTGAAAGTAATGCCTGCTATGGTTGAGAACCTTGAATGGAAGAATATTGAAGGAAGCAATGTAATGAATATTATGCGACTTGATGATCCTATAATGGTTGTATCAGTATACACCAAAACAGTAGATTATACTTTATCAATAATGAAATCATTCACAATGATAGGTGCTTATACTTGCTCCAATACAAATATCAGTATAATTTGTCATCATAATGCTCTCGTCATTACAGTAAAATACCTAAGCAGTTTTAATGATAATTGTCGTTATAGTAGTAAAGCGATACATGAAATAGGCGGCGGATGGACACCATCCATTTCTGCTGGTATAATAATGTATGTTATGTCATTTTTATTTTACAAATTATTCATAATCTTCGTTGAATAATTCACTCGAATATAAGATGTCGATTCAAAACTTTGAATAATTACAGTGTCACCTGCTTACGTACTAAATCCTGTTACTCCCATTTGAGTATAGGGTGTCGACTAGCATTCTTTATCCCACTCTGTTCTGTGCCTTATTTTCTAGCTCTTGTTCATTCGTCTCGGCGTAACGTGTTCATCGATCTTCCTAAATGTATGTCCTATCCACTTCCAGCACTTCTTCCTGATCTCTTCCACTACTGGAATCTGGTTTATACTCTCCCACAGTAGGTTGTTGCTGATAGTGTTTGACCGATGTATCTGATATCTTTTACGTATATGCATGCGTAACACATGTCCTCACCATCACATCTGATGAAGTTTCAATACTTTATCAATTGCTTTGCCATCCTTACCTAGTTCCCATTTTTAAACAACTGCATTACTCACTTGGTTGTCCCAGGATATATGTGTAGGTACATATTGTGCCTAACATCGCGTTATCAAGTCTGAGTAGATAAGCGAATAACGCAATAACGTGTAAAGTGAATGATTCTTGGTTCGAGTCTCATATTGAACATCAACCCTTGTATGTAGGTACACCCAACTGATCACTCCTAAATAAGACGAAACGCGTGTCAAACTGGATTCCACTGCAAGCCACCATCCGTCTTTGCTTACAATGCTTGTGAATTAAGGCAATATCGATGCAGTGCTCACAGTATGCACACATCTTAATAAGAGAGTGATCAATTGAAATGGTAAACATCAATGGTAAGATACAAGGATACAACAATACTAAGTGAATTCAATCAACCATCGATGGTAATTAATAATAAGGCAGAATGATTAAGATACATGTATGTCAAGGACGAACTGGATAGCTTCAAATAAATTGAACATTGCAAAAAAATTGTGTTATTATTGTTACTATTATCCCAAACAATGAGTAGAAAAATCGTAATTCTGATGTTCCATCATCTAATATCAGCCACGTCTTCAGAGTCGGTAAATGAACCTGACGGAATTAACTCAAGATTATTTAGTACAAAGAACACAGTGCAGAATATATTTAGTACGGTTGAAATCACATTAGATATAAACATTCCATTTTCTAATGGTACTGACAAAAATAAGCCACTCAACCTTTAGGTTGCAGGCTTTGATTGTGGTTCCATGAGAAAACCACCTTCTTCAGTCTCGGCAGTGAGCAGTGTTACAACCCTCACACAAATCAAGTGAAATATAAGATGTATGATTATTCGGTGCCCCTTCGTACCAATATTTATGTGTTCAAATAAATAAATAGTAAGTGAACTTATTGTGTCAAATTTGAAATAGTCATTTTCGGAAAATGAATTCATATCTTCAGTAAACATTCTTATCAGCATTCATATACAATACAAGCACATATGAATGAATATGTATTCTATTAAAAATATAAAATTCTTTCTCCTTTTCAGTCTATCTGCATGGCAACAGCATTAGAAGTTTGGAATACACAGTTAGATGCTATTGTCAAACTTGTAATCTTTGGAATCAGTTTAATAATATTCACATGTGGATTACTGATTGGTGCAGGGATTAAAACAGATTTGGCGGATCACTTAATGAGTATTTTATTATCATTTTCGGTTATATCTATTGTCATTGTATTAGTCAAGGTTGTGCTGAGTTTTTGGAAACACTACAAGGTATTATAGTGAACTGAATTATTTGATTTCTGAACGATGTAATCCTGATTGAATCTAGTTTACTTTCTCAATAATGACGGATGTTCACCATCATATTCTTTGATAGTTCTAAACTCTAAAATATTCACTGTCATTCAGTTACTAAGTAACTAACATCTGTGAACATTTGAATCCTGAGTGAAATTGATCAAAAGTCCATTGCTTTATGTTAGCTGAACTTGTAAATTTGGATGATATGCGGGGTATTCGGTTGGAATGATTGATATCATATTGTGCTGTGGTTCTCTATTTTAGATAGAATACCCGTCAACTCGGTTGCGATGTCAACCAGATTATCAAAATGACAATGAACGTTGATATTGTATAAGAGTGAAGTGTTGTTTAGGAAGAGAATAAAGATGAAATCCATAAATGATTCTGTCCATTAATGGGTGAATTGCAATTTTTCATAGTTTGATATCCGCAACAGAACATGCATCTTTCTTACATATCAGGTAGTCAACTTTAAAGGATTGAGTATCTTTACTTTCGTATCCCAAGTAGATATTACTTTCATTTTCAAGAATGTTCTATGATTATCTCTCTCATATAATACTGAACGTAAATGGCCTACTTGAACACACATTTTACATACTAGAATGAATAAATAAGCCATTGACGAAATGTATCAGAACCAGAGAGCACCACAACAGCTTTCCTTTAAGTAATCAACGTTACATGTTTATACGAAATACACTAGTTAGAGGACTATGCGCTCCATAACACCCACATTATCATAGATGCTGAAAACTTGTCTGTCACATTATTCAAAGCACAACATCCATTCTATTCATCAGTAATTCATTCACAATCTTTTAAATCCGAAATGTAAGACAGACTAATAATTCAAGCTGGTATAGAACGAATTACGGCTTCAATATGTGCAGATATGTCCCACTCTCCACAAGATAAAATAAAGGTTAATCGGATTTACCGAATCCAACTGAGATAAACGTGATTAAATTGTCTTATCTACCAAATGTACACACTAACTCAATCCTATATAGTCATGTTTGAGTATTGTACAATGTAAATGTAATGTTGAATTGTTGAAATTAATTCACTGAATCATCTTCTTGTTTTCAGTATTATACGATCGGTGTTCTCATAAGTACACAAATATTAATGCTCATCGTGAGTTAAACTGATGTACATTTTTTGTTGATAGAATGATCGCTTTGAAGTAGAAGTGAACTGTTTGTCTCAAATGAATTTGACATTGCCTTATTGAGGTTTCTACTAAAAATGACTTACACATGATATGATTCAATGTGAACAGACATCGATATTCTGAGTGATATGTGATTCCGTTGAGAGATATTTATGTAGCTCAGACGATGTATGAAGTGTTGGTAAACATTCATTGACCGATAGAAGTTAGACATCTACACCGTTATAAAGCGTGTCAGTGGAATGGAGACCAAGTATTCGCGAAGAAGACCTAAGATCATAGGTTCGTATGGCGCATGTGTGATTGTGGATACGTATTGCTCAGGAGTTCAACAATAGGGCAAAACTTTTTTTCAGTGGTGGTCTGACATTATTCGTTTATTGATCTCGATCGAAATGTATGGCGTAAATACCTCACAATTTTCCGATCATCTCCGTATTCTTATTACTCTATCGTAAATTATGAAAAAAGGACCAATCGCATTAAATTTCAACATGGTCCAGCAGCCGTATGTACCTACATCGGTTCATAGTGAGACTTGAACACTGATAGCCACTAGCCTGGGAGATGGTATGACAAGCAAATGGCTTTTATGTCTCAAAAGCTAAGTAGATAACGCGATGGCGTTTGAAGCGGACGGCACTGGGTTCGAGGCCATGAGTTAACACCAAATCTGAGATTCAAGTACATCCAGTTGATGAGTGCTAAATAGGACGAAACGCGTGTTCTAGATTCCACTACAAACCACAATTCATCTTCGCTTGTAATACTTGTGAAGTAATGTAAAATCGAGGCAATCCTCACATAATGCACATATTTCACTAAAGGGAGAGACTGATCAATTACAGTTGTAAACATCAATGACAAGATTCAAGCAAACAATATTAAATGAACTTCACTTATAATTTCAGTTAAAGAACTACACTTATATCATTTTCGTTAAAATTTCTTACATAAGAAATTACACAAGAAATGTCATCACTTATTCTATTTTGGTTATCGAATTATGCATATGAAATCCAAACTTATGAATGTTTTCAGACAGTTCAATTGACGAGTCGATCTAAACTAGATCACTATTGAAAACATGGAAGCAGTGAATGGCTGTTTCGCTCTCGTATGTGGCGAGATTCGGACCTAGGACGTGTCGGTTTCTCGCTCGAACGCTTGTTCACCATTACACTAACCCGTCATTCAGCTATGTTAATTTTTAGCCTCAACAACTTCATCAAATCGCGTGACTGTCTTTCGGTGTAGGTAGATACCTGTCTTGACACGACACACATTGGCTCTACTGGTCAATAGTGATCTAATATTATTCGGTTCATCGTCGCAAACAATATATTCAATTGTACTCCAAGACATGAATACGGATTAAGATGAGAATAAAAATTGTGGTCATTGGGCAGTTTTGAGTATGTTGAGAAAGCTTTTGACAGAAGGTATTGAAAAGCTATTTAACGTTCATTACTAAAGTTATATCAATCTTAGTGTAACACTTATGTTGAAGCACTTCAATTTCTTGAACAGCTTAATTGAATTCTGCTTACAGCAGTGAAACTTAATGCTCTGGATTATTCTCGGAACACTGATGTCACATTTTATTTCACACGGAAAACGTTTTATGTGTTGAGAGAACGTTTGTTGTATTTGATGATTGTTCTAGGGTGTGAGATATTAAATCACAGAGTAAAGAGGCATACTGCTGTGTGGTGATTAATCAATCGTGACGTTTGTCTTTATTATCGATCTTTACTATGCGCCAGTAACTAAGTATATTGATATACTTGAAACATCCTAGAACAGTAGATAACTTGGTTCTGAATGAGATACACTTTATACTAGATTCACATGAGGATGATAGTAATGTTTTTACTTTGAATGTTTGTTAGAACATTTCGGTCATATCTATTTATTAATTGAATTACTCAGCCGAACGAATCTGGACTACAATAGAATACTTGAATACATTGGAAGGTTCTTTCGTCCTAATGCGGTACTCCTCAACAGGGTTCATTCACGATCCCACTTGGTGAGATTCGAACGCATGACCAATCCGTCACGCGCGCCAACGCTCAACCTCCAGACAACTGAGCCGACCACCAAACAAAGTTGTTC